CCGGGAAGATAGGACCTTCACTTCCTCTTTCGGGTTCCTTATATCTATGAAACTCCTATGACGACACATCATGTACCCAATTTCTATGCACAGTTGGCAACAGTAAAGAATTTTAGCAGAAGGTAATTTGAAAGTGTTTCGTTGATATTTTTAGGATGCAGATGTTTTCCCCCTTGGTCTTTTTTATGAATTTTTCTGAAAGTTATATTTACACTTTGTTCCAAGCTTCGTATCGAAGCATGAGTAAAAAAAAAAAGAGGACCAACGTGATGGCAGAACTACACGAAGCTGAATCTATTTACAGATCTTTACTCTTGCATCGAGAGAATCCTTGTATCTCCGGTGCGGATAGTACAATTCGACTAAGGCACACTTTAGCAAAGGACGGTTGTAAAGAATCTCAAATTACGTTGGCTAAGTATTTATTGACTGTAGTATCTAACTGTCCTGCGGAACGAGACTTCAATGCTCAATCAGCAATTTATTGGCTGCTCCAAGCTGTCAAAACTGGGCAAGAAGAAGCTTTCTTACTCTTAGAAGAGTGCTTTAAAACTGGCGTTGGTATAAATGCTGTGAACTGTTCTGAAATTGAAAAGTGCCTTAGGTTTAGCAAAGAAGAAAAATTTGCTCGAAAAATCGCATTTTCTATATACCGTGCTATAATGAGCGATACCGAGGAATTGATTCCATCAGACATTTTCGGTGATAAAATTGAACTAATCTTTCAAAGAAAAAACCCCGAAAACTTATGCGATGAATCTAAAGACAATTCATCTCAAATGATTTCTGAAACATTATGCCAAACGAAAATTGAGGAAAGTTCTCAGGATCAAAAGTGTGTTTCTTTCAGTGAAGTTGTGAGTTCTGTCCAGACCTGTTTAGAGGGTAATGTTCCTCTGGTGTCTCTGAAACAAGTGATAAATTATTCAGAGTATAAAAGTTGGCTGTCCACAAAATATCTTCATATTGTTTGGGATTTGATTATGAAATCTCTGGAAAATTTAATTTTCAATCTTTCTTCTTTACGATTATCAGCTTTGATTATTTTGATGATTATACTGTCATTTTTCTCTGTTTTTCTGGTGCCAGGTAATATTGTGTGTCAGGAGATTCACATTTGGTTGAAATCATCTTTGTGTCTGGTGATTATGTTGTCTTGTACTTGCTTTGTTATAAATATTAATTTCGGTGGAAATAATTTAAAAAGATGGCTACATCTGATAAAGTATTTTGAGCCAAACATCAAGTCTCAAGAAATTAGGGAAAAATATTCTTTGAAAACTACCTATCCTTTGCTTACTTTCTTTTTTGCTTCATTTTTTTACATTGCTTTCTTACCTAGTAATCCAATTTCTGCTACATTCACAGACATTGGGTTTTTATGTTTTTTTCTTATGGTTCTAATGGACCGTACTATAGATCAAAAAAGATATTATGTTAATATATCTTTAATTTTAAATGTTCTGACTTGTTTATATAAAGCTAACATCATCCAAAGTTCATTCAACAACATTGGCTCCTATCTTAATTTTCAATTTGATTATACAATAGCAAATAATCTCTATTTACATATTAGTTTTATTTCTTGCTTAGCCTTACCTTTTGTTTTACCATACTTATATTTTAAAATGGGAAAGGAAAGTAGGTCAGTCTTACTGCCTCATTTAATGTCTCTTACGTGGATGAATTTGGCATGTATCCATCTTTCAAACACTATGTCTTCTCAACAGATTTTTAGTGTTTTTTCTTGGCTTGCTATCTTACTTTTGTCAAATTACACTGGCTTTTTATTTACTTTGATTTTATACTGTTTTCTAATTATTTTTAGAACTCAAGATTATTTTAAAGTTGAATTATTTATTTTTGGCTTGATATTTGTATTTATGTATTTCTTAAGCTTTATAATCATCAAAAAGCTCAAAATTTCACATGAGAGTAAAATATGGTCCTTTATTGTTTGTTCTGTTATTTTGGCCTCCTCTTTTCAGGCTTTAAGGCCTCAGACTCCAAATGTGGGCACTATTGATACAGCTATACCATGGGAAAAATATCAATCCTATTGTCATCATAATGCTTGGTATAGAACTAATACAGCTGAAGTTCAGATATCTTGCTTGCCTTTAAAAGGAAGAGATGTAACTTTAGAAGGAACTGTTACTTCTATAGATTTGATTGAAGTTCATAATAACTTGCAAATATTTGCAAATATATTACCAGAGCCTTTGCATAGCTGGTTTGTTTGTGCCCTGGGAGAGAATTATGTGCTCTGCAATTCAAGCGAAAAAACATCATTACAAGGCGAACATTGTAAAATGTATAAATCTTTAAATGTAAGTCAGTGTCATTTGCACAATTTGGATACTTATTTGTATCAAATCACTGTAGAAATATCATCAAGAACTTCTCCTGAAGTTTTCCTCATTACTGATCATGCATGCACACCTTTTGTAAAAACTTTGAAAGAAGGTGATGCTCTTGAAGTGGTTGGAAGATTAGATTTTAATGTTGGTGGTACTAAACCAGTTCTGACATTAAAAAAAGCACGTTGTACAAGTTGTTATACAAATCGAGACTGCAACATCTCTTCCATGCAACCTGTGCCTTCACATTTAAAATTCTCATGGAAAAATCTTGTTTGGTTTTACTTTGCCCCATTAATCAGATATAATACAGATTAAAGTTTTTTGTTTACATTTATAAATCACTTTTACCAGTTTTTAATTTAGGTTTGCGTGATTATATTATTTTATGTTGTTTGCTGTGGATGTTTTTTAATCATATTTTGTATTTAACATTTTATATGATTTTATGCTATTAGTTTACTGAAGTTCATTAATAACTTCTAATAGTATACTTGCTTTTTAAATTTAATCTTTTTTGCTTTTAATATAGTATTATTCCATTTTATTCATCTTGAAATAGTTTTAGATGTGATTAAAATATTATATCTTAGTCTTAAAACTACTAAAAATGATTTTGATTTAAATCTTATTCAAACCTAAAATATTCCATGTATCATGCGTAGCAGTGGATGCAAACTACAAGCACACATGAATACTTGTTATCATTTATTACAACTAAGCATACAGAAATACTTGTTATTATAAAAGAAGTTTAAATATAGAAGAAAAATATATCATTTTACTGCATAAGGACTTACAGATTTAACAATATATCATTTTGTTATTTCATTTGAATAATTTTTATTATAAAAAAAGTGTTTGTTTTTTAAAAGTTGTTGCTTAGTTTAAAGTGAAAAATACGTATATATTTGTTTCAAAGTGAATTATTTTTGTTAATATTTAATTAAAAAAAATAATTTGCTTTTATTATAACAAAGGTTATTTTAAAAAAAACAACTCATTTTATTACTTTTTGTTTTTAATTTCAGCCCCAGATTTTTGTATATTTTTTATTCAGTAAAATGTTTATCTTGTTATTCTGTTAATAAAATAAAAACATTTGCTTTGGCATTCAAAAACTTAGTGTTAAAATGTATTATCCATTTTTATCTTTTCTTATTTGTTTTAGAGTAATGTGTTTTGAATCTATTAAATTGATCAGAGTTGAGAAAATCAAATGGCATCAAATTCATAATTTTTTTTAAAAAAAACTTTTTATCTCTGCTAGTGTTCTTCTTCAAAAAATAACGAAAAATAATCATAAACGGTTATTTGATTTTTAAATTTCCTTGAACTAAGGTAATGATCAATATAACAACAGGCTTATAACAACAGTCCCAAAGACCTTGATAATTACATTTTAATTGATTAGATTTATTGTAATTTAGATAAATATAGTTTTAATATATTTTAATTATATTTCAATTACTGAAAGTCTAAATATTATAGAAAAAGACAAGCACACCTTGAAATGAAATTAAAATAAAAACATTTTATTCAAAAGAAATATTTTTATAAAAAGTAAAAAGGTATTCTAATGATCTTTTTCTATTTTGTAATACAGAATATTGTGTTTGCTGTTAGGTTTCAAATTAATTTTGTTAAAATCAAGTTTTTGTTCATTGAATTATTTTTTTGTAGTGTAATTTAGTTAATAAAATTGTTTTAATGATATTCATTAACAATCTACCTTGGAAAAATTTCATGATTGATGTTTAGATATTTATTCTTTTGTTCATATTGAGCTTTTTCTCTCATTGATAATTTATTGAAATATACGTATATTGATTTTGTGTATAGATAATATAATATTTACAAAAATTGTTTGAAAATGTTAAAATATTGTGTCATTTTCAATACTGGTTTTTATATACAAATTAATTTTTTTTAATCATTTATGCTTGTATATTGTATTGGTCAGACTTTTGAACTTAAAATTCGAGAATTCTCTATATTATTATTTTAAACTCAGTAAACATACTTCTATTTTCAGAAAATGTTTAAATATTATCATGTTGATATTTTTATTTAATTTTATAAAAAATTCTTTTATTTTAAAATATAATTATTTCTATCCTAATGTGCAATACTGGTTTTTATTATTTATACTTGTATATATTGTAATTGGTCAGACTTTTGAACTTATTCTCTATATTATTATTTTAAACTCAGTAAACATACTTCTATTTTCAGAAAATGTTTAAATATCTACATGTTGATATTTTTATTTAATTTTATAAATAATTCTTTTGTTATTTTAAAAAATAGTTATTTCTATCTTAATGTGCAATACAGAATATTTTATTATATCCGTTAAGAAAAAATTTTCACTTTTGTATTTCAGATTGTAAGTCATTGTTAATTTTTAATACAAAGAATTTTTACTCAAATAAATTTTTCATAAAGTGTAATTTTAATTGTTTTCTTTTATTGTCTAGCTCTTCTTGGTGTATATTTCAACTGCTTGCCTTATATTCAAAAAGTTATACAGTATAGTGTATCTTTAAGATCTGAAACTTTACAGGTCATGTATTTATTTTTATTTTCATGTTTACTTAATAAATTTAAATGTTACGCAAAAATATATGCATAAACACATTTTATATTGAGCCTAGAGAGCTCTGATGAAAAGAAAAAAAATATCTCCTGGAATAATGTTTGTTCCAATGATCAGATTTTCATGTACTAAGTGCTAATTTCATTGGTTCAAGAAGCTGTTTTTAAATAGGCTAATAAAATATAAATTGAATTACAAGATCAGAGAGAAAATGTACCTTCTATAAATAAAATTATTTTTTATCTATATAATTGACTCCTGAACTCTCAAAATGGGAGGATAGACAAATTTTCAAAAAAATTGGGGATTAATAAGGCTGCTAGAACGATGAATATATGTGTTTATATATATATATATACAGTGGTGGCCAAAAGTGTGGACACTTTTTGAAAGTTTCATGTTTTTCAACCTCGTGTGCTTGTAGAATATATTAATTTTCACTTAAATGCAAACGTTTATATATCAAATTGAAGGTAATTTAATGTAGAATTTAATAATAAATACAGTATTACAATATCTGTATTACAAAAAAAGTTATGCAATTAATAGTAAGATCTATCTTAGATTTGCATTTTTTTAAAGTGAT